TCTCTCAAATTTCCAAACTCTCAAGGTTCCAATCTCTCAAGGTTCCAAACTCTCAAAGTTCCAATCTCTCAAGGTTCCAATCTTTCAAATCTCCAATCTCCCAAATTTCCAATCTCTCAAATTTTCAACCTCTCAAATTTCCAATCTCTCAAATCCCCGAATCCCGAAATCCCCAAATCCTCAATTTGCCAAATCTCCAAATTCCCAATTTTTCAAATTCCCAAATCTCCAAATTTCCAATCTCTCAAATCCCCAAATCCCTAAATTCCCAAATTCCCAAATCTCCAAATCCCCTAATTCCCCATTTCTCATCTCCCTAAATACCTAAACCTCCAAATCCCCAAACCCCTGCCTCCAAATTCCAAAATTCCAAAAATCCCAAACTCAAAGTATACCTTTAGGTGTTCCAGTGCTACCGGAAGTATAGAGAACGATAGCGATTCTTTCAGGGTCCTCCTCGATCTCCAAATCCTGCTCCTCCTCGTGTCTCGCTAGTTCCAACAGCTGCTCGTACGTGATAGTATTCGTTCCCTCGTACATCGATAAATCGGCTGAAAGACCGAAACGAAAGGATTTTGAGGACAAACGTTCGCTTCCGATCTGGCTGATTCATTTGACTGTAATTGCCTCCAGAATTTCAATACGTCCCTCGATTAATGACATCGTATACCACCGGCGATTTACGAGTTTGTCAATGAACAGTCAATCTTAATCGGTTCTGATCGAACCGTATCGATCGGCAAGGTCCTTCCGTTTATCGAAGGAAAAATCGTTTTTTTTTTCATTCAAGCAGGATTGATAAAGGAATTGGAAATTATTTTTTCTTTATCTCTCTATTGTGGCAGTAAAAGTTTAACATTAAATCTATCGGCATATAATGTGTACTTAACTTGAAATTAAAAATGAAGTTAAAAAATGAATAAACAAATGAAGCATAAATTAGTGCACACATTTATTCTTTATCTTAATGAAAATCAATTCTGATTTGAAGGAATGAATTTTAAGAAAATGTGTACCTAATAAGAAACTTGTGAAGCGATTATTTGACCAGTTTGGTAGTTCTAGTGTTAATCTAACACAAATCATCAAGCCACACATCTTATCAAACACAATTTAATGCAAATTTAATAGAAGTTTGGAATATAAATGTTACTTCGTTGATAATCTTTATTGGATATACAACATTGAACTTGGTGTAGACTTCAGGTTTTATAAGAACCACGAAGAAATAAATAAGAAGAAGGACAGAAGGAGGATTTGCGTGTCTGATCCTCACAAAGAATGCGATTCCCATGACTCCAGAAATCTGAGCCATTGTTAGTTATAAAGAAAGATCGCAGTCATTTCTGCGAAGTATTTCATAATTTCAGTTACACGATAACGTGTAATCGACAATGGTTATTGACCGGGAAACCGGTTTCTAATAACATTATAATAATAGAGGAAAATGTGAGGTCGATTATAGCGAACAGGTGATAAGTCGAAAATGGTGAGGGAAAATGTGAAGAAACTAAGAGAAATACAGAAAAGTCCCAAAACAGAAAAATGGAAAAATAGAAAAGTGAGAAGGTATTGGATGGAAAATGCAAACGTGAAGTGGAAGGTGAACGCGAGAAAAATAGCAGAGTAAACGTCAGAAAGGGAAGTGCGAAGGAACTAACAAGAGGAAAGTGCGAAAGCGGGAAAAAGAAGAAGCGTGGTTTTACCGTGTTCCTCGACAAGTACGACGAAAGGTTTAGCTTCCTGCAGAACGTGTTTCATCCTAGACATGGGGAACTCTACGTCCAGAGGCAGATACGCCATCCCAGCTTTAATTATCGCCAGCAGTACGGTGGGCAGACGATGAGAGGGTTTCATGCAGACTCCAACGAACGACGCCGCGGTGTTCTCCGGTTTCTCGCATTTCTGCAAAACCCTGGCCAACCGATTGGTCAGCAGGTGCAATTCCTGGTAAGAGATCGCGTACACCTTTCCATCGTCGTCTGGAAACAAAGAAAAACGATGGAAATGTTAGACGACGGGAAACGCGTGGCTGGAGGATATCGATCACGTGCATATCGCGCGCACCTCGATATCGATTTTTTACCGTTCTAGACATTCTTGCGTGTTGTTTTTTATTCCTTTGTATTTTGAAAAAAATAGCATCAATGACAGTACCTTCGTAGTAGATTGCCGGCTGACTGGAATTATTCTCTGCCGACTCTTTGAATAATTTATGAAGCAAATCCTTCTCCTTGCTGCCATTGGTCTGTCGGCCTTTTAACACCGACTGCTGCAGGATCGTTCCCATCTGTGGGTTGAAATTTTTTAGTCTTTATCTCGTCACGGTTCATTTCGCTATTTTAATTAAGTTATACCCATTATTATCTTGGTGCGCGTCATTTATTTTCGTTGGTACTTCGGTTTTTCTAAATTGAACAATTAGCGATTCAAAATTTTATCTGTTGATTTTGAACATCAATGTTTTAGTGCAGAAATATTTCTGAGACGCCTTAATACATTTATCTCGAGAATTTTATCTGTCGACTTCGAACATAAATGTTTTAGTTCAGAACGATTCTACAATTTTATCTGTTGATTTCGAGCATCAATGTTTTAGTTCAGAACGATTCGACAATTTTATCTGTCGATTTCGAACGTCAATGTTTTAATTCAGAAATATTTCTGAGACACCTTGATACGTTTTAATCGATCGTAACGAAGTTCAGACTGACTCGACAATTTTATCTGTTGATTTCGAACATCAATGTTTTAGTTCAGAACGACTCTACAATTTTATCTGTCGATTTCGAACATCAATGCTTTAGCTCAGAAATATTTCTGAGACGCCTTAATACATTTTAATCAATCGTAACGAAGTTCAGAAGGACTCGAGAATTTTATCTGTTGATTTCGAACATCAGTGTTTTAGTTCAGAAAGACTCGACAATTTTATCTGTCGATTTCGAACATCAATATTTTACTTCAGAACGACTCGACAATTTTATCTGTCGATTTCGAACATCAATGCTTTAGCTCAGTAATATTTTTGAAACATTTTAATACATTTTAATTGATCGTAACGAAGTTCAGAAAGACTCGAGAATTTTATCTGTTGATTTCGAACATCAATGTTTTAGTTCAGAAAGACTCTACAATTTTATTTGTCAATTTCGAACATCAATGTTTCAGTTCAGAAATATTTCTGAAACACCTTAATTCGAAGTAGAAATTATGGTGGAAAGAAACGGTATTAATCGATCGTAACGAAGTTCAGAACGACTCGAGATTTCCCGAGAGCGACATGGGATTTGAAATCCCAAACGGCTCGCGCCATCGGCGAATAACTTTCAGTCTCTTCAATTAACGCGAAAGATTGATGGCGATTTCTATGGAAAAGAACATGCTAGGAGTTATACAGCAAATACGAACAACATCCAGGGGAATTTAGCGCGTTCTTTCTTCTAAATACGGGTGCGAATGGAATTAGAACGATTGGATTGCACCAACCTTTTTCTTTCGTTGGGGCGTTCAATGCTTTAACTTCCACGTTTGTCTCTTCCATTACCTTCTTTCATTTCTTATTTTCTTTTATTTTTTTACTAACTGTTAGCTTAAATAATTGTCTGGCACTGTTAGAATGTTTATTAGCTTCATCATGAAAGTTGCATGACCAACGAAGATAAAAAGAATGAAACTTTCCTATAAAATTTTATAGGAAATTGTTGAAACAAAGAACCTTTATTCCGTCATTTCTGATATTTTCATTCAAATAAATGTTTGTACAGAAATGCTCTCTTGTTTCTTTTAAAAATATCTTTCAAAACAGTTAATATACAATCGGTAGTTGCGACGGTGAACACCGTATCAAGCATTCCTTTCACTGAACACGAATTTCACCCTTCTCTGCCTCTTCCATCTCCCTTTCGTGTCTTGAAAATTTTCCACGAGGAATAGAAAGCGTGACGTACGAAAGGCACGGGGCTGTTCAATTAATTCGGTAGGGACCGTATATCGAAATACGTAAACGTATTGTTTCGAGTGCGCAATCTCGTATAAATTTTCCTAACCAAACCTCTTTCCACACTGCTGATCTTCTTCATTACATTCAACTTCATCGATTTCATTATTTATATTCAACTCGTCATTAATTTTTTAATACAAAATCCAAATTTAATTCGAATAAATTGAAATGCAAATTTAATTCAAATAAACTCAAATCCAAATTTGATTCGAATAAATTGAAATCCAAATTTAATTCGAATAAATTCATATCCAAATTTAATTCAAATAAATTCAACTCTAAATTCAATTCAAATAAATTCAAACCTAAATTCAATTTAAATAAATTCAAACCCAATTTCAATTCAAATAAAATCAAACCCAAATTCAATTCAAATAAATTCAAACTCAAATTCAACTCAAATAAATTCAAATCCAAATTCAATTCAAATAAATTCAAACCCAAATTCAATTCAAATAAATTCAAACCTAAATTCAATTTAAATAAATTCAAACCCAAATTCAATTTAAATAAATTCAAACCCAAATTCAATTCAAATAAATTCAAACTCAAATTCAACTCAAATAAATTCAAATCCAAATTCAATTCAAATAAATTCAAATCCAAATTGAACTTCTGAAACTTCAAATGTATTGATGCATATTTTGGCGACCATCGAGTTCAGTAAACTCCGATCGAAAAAGGGTTAATGTCTCTAACGAAAGAAAGTTCATCGATTACGCGGAGCACGAGGTAATAAAAGTTTGTCGATGGAAGTCAACTGCGAAACGGAGACTGCTGTAAGTGCGTCAAAATGCAAACATAGTATCGATTAATTTACATAACTGTTACAAGGATAATGAAACTGTTCTGTATTATACCAGTGGAATTTATAATTGAAGCCTTAGGGTTATCGTGTCGTTAAACTAGGTAGATTTCAAAAGCATTTGTTCATGGAAATCTTGGACGCTCGATGAAATAGTAATCGACGATGCGAGCTTCCAGTAGAATGTTTAATACGATAACGTTGATAGCGGAGGGTCCGATTTATGTTCGCTCCAATTAAACGACGCGCTGAGATTACATTGAAAGGGGAAGAAAAATACTCGATCAACTGCCACTTAAGCTTATTCATACAACAGAAAGAATTGTTAAATTGCTCGCTCTCGAAAATTTATACCAAGGAATTATACTATTATTTCTAATAGAAATAATGTTTGTGTAAATTAACACTAAACCTACCGGTGTGCAATTACATATTGTGTATGCACTTACTCTCAAATTAAAAATGAAGCTGAAAAATAAATAGACGAATGATAAAACATAAATTAATATGCACATTAATTCTATACCTTCACGAAGATTAGCAAAGATTCTAAAAAAATTGCATTAATAAATTTTGTAAATTAAAATGAATGATTTGTAAAAGGGTCACTTGACCTTTCTGACAGATTTAACATTAAAAAAGAACATACTATGTTGATATAAATGGTGAACAAACACAAGTATCATTTCATTTATCTCTCCGAAACCATCGAAAAAATATTGTCGCTCAGATACCAGAACGATAAATTTCATTTGTGTCAGATTTGCATAAATTAGAAAATTAATTAGGTTGATAATAGCTGCAAAGTTTAAAATGCCAAATGATTTTCCACCGCCTTCCGCTATAATCGATCAGTTAGAAATTCTCGGTTTCTGATTTTTCTATTTCGATTCCGTTTCGAAATCGAAGTAATTTCATTATAGATGTGGCGTAACGATAATTTTGCGAAATAATGATTCTAACGGATAGTGATTTCAACGCGTGGCAATATAACGCATGATAATTGTAACGCATTGTGATTTCTACTTGTGGTGATCACGTGGTGATATAACGCGCTGTGGTTTCCACACGTGGCTATATAACGCGCGCTAATTCTAACACATAACATTTTTATTAACTTATAATAATTTGTTATAATTCTTATTATAACTTGTGTGCATATGGCAATATAAGTTGTATAACACTTGATGTATACTGCAATATAACGCAAGGTAACGATTGTCTCTAAACGATAAAGTTCCCATAAATTCTCGTTTCCTAAACGTTTCTTAAATAATTCTATAAAAGAAACAAAGTTGTGAAACTGATTAAAAAGTAGATAACCAAAGCACTTAACAGTGCAAATTCCGCCATTTCCTTTAGTAGCAAACGCTGGGGCAATCGTGATAGAGCAATCTGAGACAAGGATGCTTTCGTGACGACACGCATGCAGCAGGTTTCGTTCACTCACCTCAAAAGCAGTTTCTGACGTACGTGTCCTTCTTCAGCAAGCGTGTCGCCTTCGACTTCGCTTCCTGGCTGTACGACGGAGATCCAACAGTGTCGAGAAAAATGGCACCGTTCCAGGGTATCGGTTTTAACAACGGCGTACACTATCCTCGAAACACCTGAATTCAGCGACCGGCCAACTTTCACTGGTTCATGCGCACCTTTCTAACGAGCACTCTCGTTTCTGCTCGGCCTAAGTCCAATTCGTTCTCGTCTTTTTTCCTCGAAAACTTCGCCTCGGAATCGAACAGCGATCACCAATCACTCTAATGAATCTCTCCGATCCTCCTTGACCACCTTTACCGATCGATTCTGCGGTCTCAGCTTTCTTCCACTGATCTCAACTTTACGACGCACGTGTTTTCTTTCATATCACCTATCCCGTTATCCTCTTCGATATCGAAGCAAATTGCAACGAAGCACAACCGGTTTTTCAAATTTTTCAGGTTGAATCAAATGGTGGTTTTTGGAAGATGCTAAACACAATGGTTCCTTTGTTAACTTTCGAGAGACGAACCGATTCGCGATTTTCGCTAAAAGATCGATAGTTGGGTGTCGCAATACGATGACCTTACGGTTTGGTCATCACCGGCCCGATTACTCGCAGAGAGTGTCTCCTCCCGTTGACGTAGCCAGTGCTTTTATATAGAACCGGTTACGAGGACCCTGAATTGTTCGTTGTCCCCCATCCTGCCACCACCATCTCTGCATCTTTTGTGTCGCTGTTGCGACTGCACCGCTTCGTCTGGTCCCTTCGAACCGTGCTCCCTCTATCATCCACGCTCCTTTTTTATCCGTTCATTTTTTTTATTCATCGCTATTAACACTACGGACCAGTTCCACGCTGCTTATGATGCTGCTGCCAACTTTCAATTTGATCATCTCTACCATTTTGAATTGGGTTCTTTATCTGGGGAGTCAGGTCCCTTGACGTCTATGTCAATTGTTTCATTTTAATCCTCCTGGAAATTCTTTCATAATTTTATTTCTTTTCTCATGGTGAGATGTATGTGGTTGAAAGATTTGAGGTTTGGGAAACGTGAGATGGTGTATGTTTTTAGATATTTAGATTTATGTATCTTTTTATCTGCATGTGTTTAGAGCTTTAGGTATGTGGATCTGTAAATCTGTGGGTTGTTTGATTTTCATGTTCTTGGGTCTTGAGATGTTCAGATCTCTATCTTTATGTATGAGATACATTCTTTTGATTATTATAACTGTAGGTCCAAGATATTGACTTTACGACGCACGTGTTTTCTTTCATATCACCTATCCCGTTATCCTCTTCGATATCGAAGCAAATTGCAACGAAGCACAACCGGTTTTTCAAATTTTTCAGGTTGAATCAAATGGTGGTTTTTGGAAGATGCTAAACACAATGGTTCCTTTGTTAACTTTCGAGAGACGAACCGATTCGCGATTTTCGCTAAAAGATCGATAGTTGGGTGTCGCAATACGATGACCTTACGGTTTGGTCATCACCGGCCCGATTACTCGCAGAGAGTGTCTCCTCCCGTTGACGTAGCCAGTGCTTTTATATAGAACCGGTTACGAGGACCCTGAATTGTTCGTTGTCCCCCATCCTGCCACCACCATCTCTGCATCTTTTGTGTCGCTGTTGCGACTGCACCGCTTCGTCTGGTCCCTTCGAACCGTGCTCCCTCTATCATCCACGCTCCTTTTTTATCCGTTCATTTTTTTTATTCATCGCTATTAACACTACGGACCAGTTCCACGCTGCTTATGATGCTGCTGCCAACTTTCAATTTGATCATCTCTACCATTTTGAATTGGGTTCTTTATCTGGGGAGTCAGGTCCCTTGACGTCTATGTCAATTGTTTCATTTTAATCCTCCTGGAAATTCTTTCATAATTTTATTTCTTTTCTCATGGTGAGATGTATGTGGTTGAAAGATTTGAGGTTTGGGAAACGTGAGATGGTGTATGTTTTTAGATATTTAGATTTATGTATCTTTTTATCTGCATGTGTTTAGAGCTTTAGGTATGTGGATCTGTAAATCTGTGGGTTGTTTGATTTTCATGTTCTTGGGTCTTGAGATGTTCAGATCTCTATCTTTATGTATGAGATACATTCTTTTGATTATTATAACTGTAGGTCCAAGATATTATAACTGTGGGTCCAAGATTATTATAACTGTAGGTCCAAGATATTATAACTGTGGGTCCAAGATTATTATAACTGTAGGTCCAAGATATTATAACTGTGGGTCCAAGATTATTATAACTGTAGGTCCAAGATATTATAACTGTGGGTCCAAGATTATTATAACTGTAGGTCCAAGATATTATAACTGTGGGTCCAAGATTATTATAACTGTAGGTCCAAGATATTATAACTGTGGGTCCAAGATTATTATAACTGTAGGTCCAAGATATTATAACTGTGGGTCCAAGATTATTATAACTGTAGGTCCAAGATATTATAACTGTGGGTCCAAGATTATTATAACTGTAGGTCCAAGATATTATAACTGTGGGTCCAAGATTATTATAACTGTAGGTCCAAGATATTATAACTGTGGGTCCAAGATTATTATAACTGTAGGTCCAAGATATTATAACTGTGGGTCCAAGATTATTATAACTGTAGGTCCAAGATATTATAACTGTGGGTCCAAGATTATTATAACTGTAGGTCCAAGATTATTGTAACTGTGGGTCCAAGATTATTATAACTGTAGGTCCAAGATTATAACTGTGGGTCCAAGATTATTATAACTGTCCTATATTCTCAGATCTCTGGAGAATCTCTGTATTCACAGATACCTGCAGACACCTATACCACCTGATCTTTATATCCACAGACATGTGCATATGCAGATACCTCAGACTCTTATATTTCTAGAATCCTACAAGTATAATGTACATCTTCTAATTCTCTACATCCACATATCTCCATATCCTTAGAGTGAGACCTAGATCTCAAGATTTATCTTATTTTCATTTCAAACTTCCCAAGCCAGCAGTCTTCCTAAATTTCAATGTCCACATACTCTATTAACCTATGTCTTATTTTGTTGTATCCTGATCTCCATATTATACGTACATCGACTAAATCATAACTAATGCGTCCCTAGATCCCACATTTGAAACAGTAAAGTTTGTACAGAATATAGAAAGCGAAATTGACTCGTAAGTTTCGAAATAGTTAATCGGGTGAATTTGAAATTCAGCGATACGATCAGAAGTTAATTTGATTATTGAAGCAATCGCCGGATAAGATCGGAAAGTTAATAATCGGCAAATTAGTGAAATCGTAAAATCCTTGTACAATGCTTTAATTACACGTCCTTGCGTAATTTCGCCGCGAACAACCTCAAGGAAACCAGTGGATCGTAAAATTATTTCACTTTGTCGTTTCATTGAGCTTGTAAGAACGCCTCGGTGTGAGGTTCGCATTCGTTGCAAAGCCGTGAACGAGCATCACCGTGGATATCATTTTGTTACGGTAAATCATGGTTCTAGCGGATCCGAGGGGATCCAAGGAGATTTATTTATTAAATATTGTTTGTTGCGTAATCTCAAGGCGAGACGACGCACAACATTGTTAATGTTCTTTAATCAATGCAAGTGATTCATTGCTCATTACTCAACAGTTGCTACTTTTAATCGCTATTCGCTGCTGATTTATTGGTGCGCTTTGATGTTTTGCTTTCATCGATTCATTTACATTTTGTGATACCGTTTTTCTGCACTCGGTCAATTCTTAAACTCGGTTTTACCTGTTTGTCAAACGCTACATTTTTCACTCACGCGGTTTATCGATCACGGTGTTTCCCCGATTTCAGCTGTCATTTTCGCGTTCTGCGTCAACGGTCAACTTTTCTGGGGACTTTTCTCGCATGACTCAAAGCATCTTGCGCTCTTGAAAGACGCGTAAGTTATGACACTCAACTGGAAGTTCCAAAACGTAGACCGTTACTGTTTCATTACTGATGAAACATTTATGACGTAGTGCGGTTTGTTGATTCTATTACAACATTCTTCCATTTTTTTCCTCAGAAATTTGAATGTGTTAATTTTGTTGGATTATCCATACATTATTCTTTTGAAACTCGTTTCACGTATGAGTTGAGTGCATAAATATTAAATTGCTACAAGTTGCAATGATACTGCAATGTTTCATACTTAACGAGACAAACAATTCGATGACAAATGAAAAATTGATCCTCGGAATTCACCGACAAAGATAGGGAAACGGAATATTCTTTCGGTGTAATAACAACTGAGCTAACATTAAGATTATTCGGTGAGCTATCAGTTAGATGAGGTCTTGATTGAATAATTTTTTAGATTGAACATTTACGAATAGGATCAAATTGCACGACGTATATTTTTCTAGGAAAAAGAAATTCATCTAAAGATAGAATAAAAGACAAAAGTGAATAAGTAAACATTGTGAAGTTTTCCTTTTGTACTAACTAAAGTTGACAAGCCTCGCTTTTTTTTAACAAAGAAGAAATAACTTCGTACGTGGCCAAAAAAGTGTCCCACAGTTGCAATGAAAATGCACACACAAAAAAAAAACGGAAAAACCATGAAATCGACCGATTCGCGTAATCAGGTATCTCATGGACTTCGTTTATAAAGTCAAGGTTGTATGTGGCAGCTTACTTGAAGCATGCATCGAGTTTCAATTCGATTGATTCGAGTTTATCGTGGTTACAGCGTGATTTACGAGTACATTGGATCGGAGCAAAACGATTGTTAAGGCGTTTCTCTGTAACTAACGGTGGATAATTAGATAATGATGGGAGCAGCTACGTGCGTGTTCACCAGTTCGTAATCTTCATCGCTAATTATCGTTTCTTTCATTCAAAATACTTTGAGGATTACTCCATGCTATTGTACGTTTTCGTTCGAAGTTGGAATGAAATTTAATTTGTAATTATTAAGTTAATTATTGAGGCTGTTGGGTCAAAGTTAATTGACTCGTTGTTGGGTCAGGGCTACTGGATGCGAGGATATAACAAATGGCGATATACGAGGAGAAATCCAGAGCGTTGGAAATTCATGAAAATATGTCTAGTAATTTCTGTGTGTGACGATATAGTACGTACTGGGTCTGTGTGTGATATAGCGCGTGGCGATTCGTGTGGGTAGAAATTCTAACAGGAGGCGATATAACGCGTGGGAAGTCGAATGCGTGGAAATTCAACGCTTAGCGATTTCAAGGCGTGGCGATATATCACGTGGGTGATTCGTATGAGCAGAAATTTTAACAAACGGCGATATAACGCGCGGAAAGTCCAGTGCGTGAAAATCCAACGCGTGGTGATTTGAGCGCGTGGGAATATAATTCGTAATGATTCTACGCGTGGCGATATAGCGCGAGGGGATTCGTATGAGCAGAAATTCTAACAAGTGGCGATATAACGCGTGGGAAGTCGAATGCGTGGAAATCCAACGCTTAGCGATTTCAACGCGTTGCGATATAATGCGTAAATAATTCTACGCGTGGTGATATAGCGCGTGGTGATTCGCCGAGCAAAAATTCTAACAAGTGGCGATATAACGCGTGGGAAGTCGAATGCGTGGAAATCCAACGCTTAGCGATTTCAATGCGTGGCGATACAATGCGTGACGATTCCACGCGTGGTGATATAGCGCGTGGAGTTTCATACGAGCAGAAATTCTAACGAGTGGCGATATAACG